TCCCATGTGCTGAGTGCTGCAAACATGTGATCTCATTCAATAGAACCCTACAAAAGGAGATTACCATTCATATTTTAGAGATGAGGGAGCTAAGCAACAGAACCTGCTAAAGTATCTTTTACTGCTAGACATTCCTTGGAAATAAGCAGAGCTTGAGAACAACACAAAACTATCAGTAGTGAAATTTTAGAAAGAAAAACAGTCACAAATAGGTGCCACTTACTGGGTGTTATGACCATGAGCATGTAACTAATCTCACTGGGCCTGTCTATCCTGTAAAATGGGATTAGTAGGACCTATCTATCTCACTTAGGATTCCTATAAGGATTAATGAGACCATGTATGAAAAGAATGTAGCACTCTGCCTGGACAAATACTGAATGCTCTTATTTGTATTTTTACCATCATAATTGGTGAAAAATTCTAGGCAAATAATTTAACATCTCTGGGTTCAATTTACACCTACAAATAGATGATAAAAATACCTACATAATATAGTAATTGTGAGGATTACATGTGATAATACACAGCAGTCAAAACAGTTACCTACTACACTTCAGCCAAGAATGGGACTGGCTAAATAAACTATAGTAAATACATAAAATTACGTACTTTGCTAGAGACATGAATTTAAGGACATGAAAAGAAATCCATACTATATGGTTAAGTTTAAAAAGACAGCTATATAAGTCAGTCAGAGAAAGAATAATACCATATGGTTTCCTTTATACTAGAATCTGAAAAACACAGAATAGAACAGAAATAGACTCATAAACACAGAGAGAATGGACAGTTGGTTACAATGGGGGAAGGGGGATGATGGGTGAAATGGGTACAATAGGTGAAGAGTATAAAGAGATATAAACTTCGAATAATAAAGAAATTGAGTCATGGAGATGGGGAGTATAGCCTAGCGAATATAGCTCGAAATATAATATCTTTGTATGGTGGCAGATGGCAACTACACTTAGCATGGTATTTGAGAATGTATACAACTGATGATGAATCACTAAATTGGACATCTGAAACCAACATAATACTGTACATAAACTATATTGACATAAAAAAGTCAAAAAAATTTTTAATCTTAACTACAGATGTTAAGTACAGTAAAATCCTTTTCTTTTGAAAATATATGAATATACCTTAATAGAAAAGGTGTCAAAAATACACCCCACAATCTATAATTTATGGAAACAGCAACTAATCAGTTACTGAAAAACAAAAAAATTATTACTGCTACCACTATTATCAAGATGATGTAATAATTCAAAAACCCTGTATCTATGTGTTTAAAAAAGCAGTAGCATCTTGCCCAAACATCCCCACTCTGTAACATCATTACTGGGATTCTTCTACGAATAGGATGAAAAGGGATTCACTCTGAAACTTCTCAAGTTTTAGTGGGTCAAGAAGAGAGAAAGAAGCTATGTGTCTCTAAGTAAGATACACATTTTTATTTCCCACCATTCCAGTTAAAAATCTTCTTAATTTATGTTGATATAATACAGAAAAATTACTTTGACTAATAAAATAAATACAAGAACATTTCTACAAAGGCAAATGCACTCCCCAAAGGATTTTTAGAATTCTTATTTTTACTTGGACTGAACATACAGTCTTTAAAGTGAGTATTTCACAGCATAGCTGTCACTGAAGTTATAATCCTGTGACTGTGAGCAGAGGACACTGTCATGAAGTTAACAGGATAGAACAAAAGAAACTGCAGTTTCTTAAAGAAGAAAATGGATTAATTGGCAGATACAAAAGCTGATATACAGTGAAAAGTAGAAAAAAATGAAGTGACTTGGAAAAACACATTACATTGTAAAATTTTTAAGAAATGCTATTTCATTAATTTAAGGGTCTTACCTCCTTATTTTCATTGCAAATTAACAGTTCACTTTAATTAGTAACATTAACCAATGGTTATACATGAATATGCAACCTTGAAGGTAAGAAAGAAAAAAACAGGATTCACAAAATAAAGAGCCCTTTAAAACCAAAGATACGTAATCTCTCATTTTAAGGAGATTCTTCTGAGCAAAATGCATTCTTTCCTCAATTCACAGAAAGGATTCAATACATGTGAGTACATGTGAAAAATAAATTACTTCACTATTTTTCTCTCTTAGTGTCACCACTAAGTTTCAGTAACCCAAAGAAATATTTTATTTTCAATATTTTAACATTTGTCTCCCTCTGCTGTATGAGAAATGATTCAAAACTTTCATCATTTCTATTTACAATAGCCAAGAAATGGAAGCAAACTAAATGTCCATCAGTAGATAGATGGATAAAAAAGATGTGGTACATATACACAATGGAATATTATTCAGCCATAAGAAGAAAACAAATCCTACCATTTGCAACAACATGGATGGGGCTAGAGGGTATTATGCTCAGTGAAATAAGCCAGGGGGGAGAAAAGACAAGTATCAAATGATTTCACTCATCTGTGGAGTATAAGAACAAAGAAAAAACTGAAGGAACAAAACAGCAGCACTCACTGAACCCAAGAATGGACTAACAGTTACACCAAAAGGAAAGAGACTGGGGAGGATGGGTGGGAAGGGAGGGATAAGGGGGAAAAGGGGGCATTACAATTAGCACATATAATGTAGCAGGCGGGGACACGGGAAAGGCAGTATATACAGAGAAGACAAGTGATTCTTTAGCATCTTACTACGCTGATGGACAGTAACTGTAATGGGGTATGTGGGGGGGACTTGATTATAGGGGGAGTCTAGTAACCATAATGTTGTTCAAGTAATTGTACACTAACGATATAAAATTTAAAAAATAAATAAAATAAATTTTTTAAAAAACTGAAGGAAAAAAAACTTTCATAATTTCCCTGAAGATATAATTTATAATTCTTTCAAATTTTTTTTCATAAAAGTCAGCTTAAAAGTTGGAACTGTAACAAAGTAAAATCTATTACTTTGGTTTAGGACAAGAAAAATAATGATCCTTCAGAATGTAACCTTAGAGTCTTAATTCTTTAATCCAGAATTTAGAAAACCTAAGCAAAGAAATACTAGCTTTACAAAAGTAAAAGTATTCCTCCTGGGCCAGGATGAACAATTAAGCAACTATGAGAACTTAACTCTGCTAACTTCATACAGATAACATCAGAATACAATTTAAATTCACTCACTGAACAATTACTGAGTACCTACTATGTACAAAGCCCAGGGCTGGGGTTGCCAAATTTAGGAAATAAAACATAATTATACTAAAAAATTATTCACTATTTGTAAAGTTAACTAGATATCCTGTACTTTATCTGGCAGCCCTACCTCTGTGAATATACAAAGACCCAAATATGACATGCTTCTTATCCTCAAAAGACTAAGTGCAAAGGAAATACATGTACACATAAGTAAACTATTATACAAATAAGAAAAGTAGTGATGTAGCATTTAAAGAAAGGGGAAAGGAGCAGAAAGGGCAAAATGGGAAATAGTTAAGGGAGGGTAGGGAATGCTAAGAATCAGCAAGCACACAGATTCAAACATAAGTAAAAGAATAAGAGTGCTTAGTTACATCCGTGATTCTAGCCACACAGACTTGCATATTTACCACACACACTATTCTTCCATTAAGTATACTAGGCAGCTCAGTAACACAGCTTCTTAAGTCATTTACCATCTACGCACAACAGTTAACATTTATACTACTTTGAAAGGACATGCATTAACCACCTCTTGATAGAAATATGTACAAAAAAACACCAACTCACAATTTTTTGACCTGTCTCCCTCCTAAATCTATAGTTTTGTGCTTGATTATTTTACCCAATATTCTTTTATTAAACCAATTCTACATTATGTGGATGGAGCCAAAACTAAAATCTTGAAAAGACCTCATCCCTTTTCTCATTTTCTATCATCCAAGCAACTGTTTCCTTTCTCTGCCTCTAAACAGCTTTTGACTTTGTAATCTTCAAATCAATAATCAATAAATGCACAGACCATTTTTAACTAGATGCAAAAGTAAACTACTGCTTCTTTACTTTGCACTTTCTGCTCAAACTCTCGGCAGATGTTGTCTTCTTTCTGCAGGTCTAGTTACCATTACCACTCTTCATGACACAGGCTGACCCTACTCTCTGATAGGAAAATTCATATGACCTTAGAACTTAAACTCAGTAATACAGAGTTGCAGGACATATGTATAAAGAAAGTATAGTAATGAAAAAAGTCTCCTTACATCATTCATTCTCATTAACTCATCATCTACTTTGATATAATTTTACAAATGAAAGGATTCCAGAGGTCATTTAGTCTGTATCTTTCATTTTTACAGATGGTGAAATTTTAGTCCAAAATCATTTTGTGACTAGTCTGAATTCATAGGCAAGCAAAGAACCAGAGTTCAGATTTTTTATTTTTCAGTTCAGTGTTTTTCCAACTAAATTATCTATACTACTACCTACATCCTTTGATTACTATTTAAAATATTCTGATTTTTAGTTTGAGTATTTTTACTTCTTTTTGGAAATTTAAAAATTAGTTACACAACAATTTAGTCCTTAGTCCCTCATAGCAATCTAAAATTCAGCTTAACTGAAAATGAAAAGAGCAGATTCACCTTTATAGTAGTTTGTATTTTCAACTGAAGAAGTTAACGTAAGATAAGTATTTGTATATCAAAACAAGACAAGTTCAAAAAGAGACATTATCAGTATCAAATCTTAAAGAGAAGCTGATTATTCTCTTTTTGAAAACCTCTTTATTGAGAAGTATTATACCTATTGTAATAAGTATATAAAGACCACTACGGTTAAGTAGATTTTTACATTCCATTGTCACAGTATTTTGGGAGGACAAAAACTTACTCAAAAATTACTGTTCTTATTTACCTGTCCCTTTAAACTTACAAATATGTTGCTGAAAGAATCTTCAAGCTTATTATCACATGGGTGACTGATTTGTTGAGCAATGTTTCTGTATTTTGAAATTATTACTACTGATAACCCTTTTCCATTATCTTACCTTTGTTGAAAGTACTTTAAATGTGCTCTGTTCTGGTATGATGGGATGAAGAAGTCTCAGTTTCAAACTGTAATCCTGTCCAGAAGGAAGTTTCACCAAAGCAGACAACTAATATACAAAAAATTAGCAGCACATTTTATAAATTTATATAATGAAGGGTGAAATACTTGGAACTGAATATAATTACAGAACTTGAATACTGCTGCAGACTATTTTAAAGACTTCTATATAGATTATCAAGTTTAAGAACCTCAAAATATTCCCTTTATTTCATCTGATATCCTCCACATGGATTCTTACGCAATTAAGTAGTAGAAAAGAGGATGTTCCATAATACATAGTTGACATTTAAATCTCAATGAAACGTAAGATAAAAGGGTAAAATGATACAGTATGTAACAAGGAAGTTGTTCACATGCAAAACATCTAGTTCTACCACTAACTCTCCTAAATACATATAAGGTTTTCTACTAAAAGCTTAAAAACAAGTTATTAAAAATCATACTCACTTACTATGGTTAGTAAATTCTAAGACAAGAAATCACACAATAGGCAGATCTTTTTCATTAAGTATACCATACAACTATAACCAAATTATACATCTTACTAATGTCTTCTGTCAATTAAGTTTTGCTTTGAATTCCAATTCTAAAGGAAAAGAAAATAATGCCTATCTAGCTATAACCTACAGTATACATACTCTTGTCTTAAAACTTAAAATGATTCAAATTGAAAAGCCATGTTTCAGGTTTTTATCAGCATCTTCCACATGATCTCAAGAGGAAATGACATATCTGACAAAACTGCTACAGAGTATTCCACAATATATTTACGAATAAAAGTACTTAATCTCAACATAAAAAATGGTTCAAAGACTAATGACCTCTTTTTCTGAAAATTCCACATTTACATCATTCTTCTGAACATTCTTGATCATAAGTGTAATGATTACTTGAGATTCTGTTTGATACCAGTCATACCTATTAAAAAAGGGGGAAAAAAACTTAGAATTTCTAATTTTCTTAGTTGTTACTTCATGTTCTGTCAAGATAAACTACAATCTGGTAAACAAGGGCTCCACCTTGAGGAACAAAACAGCAAAGCAACTGCTGATTCATAGAAACAACCTTATCTACCATTTGCACTAATAGAAGAGAACAGGAAGGTATGATGCCCCCAAACTTTCCAGTGGATGTAAATACTCATGTTATTTTCTGGGTTCTACCTTAACATCTCTAATACTGTTGTGCTTTAGCTATTGTTAAAGATGAAAATTATTCTATATAGCTAATAGTTATTATACACCATCAGTAATTTTACACTATTGTTTCAGCCTAATACTAAGAAACACTTTTCACAGACAAAAAAATGTCAGCTCAGGAGGGTGAAGCAATCAGCCAATCAGTAGCAAATCTTACACACTGGACCCAGGTCAACTTGATACCACATACCAAAATGTCTTAACTAAGGCTGTGGGGGGCGAATATCCCTGAACACAGGAAGCAGAAGCAAGTGAACTAAAATTAAAATAACTTAAAAGTTTAACTCAGGCACAACATTAAATAAAATTAAATATACTACCTTCCTTCAATCTCAAGGCATGTGAAAAAATAGTGAGCATTCAGATTCTACTTACATCTATCTGTCCCACTGAAACCTCTAAAAAATGTCAGGATCCTCATTTTCAAATCAGACTAATAAATTTAATTAATCAGATTAATCAAATCAGATTAATCAAATTAGATTAATAAACCCCATGAAGGCACTATTTATCCTACAGCACTACAGCATTCCCAGGACTAAGCACAGTGCCAGGTACACAGTATATTTATTAAATCAATGTTGAATTATTTTATGCCCCAAACACCACAGTTTTTGATGTTTGTGTGTCCTACCCCTGCTGCTGCCACCAAGCTAGTCAAAGTTCCTTGTCTACTAGGTACTTGGAAAGTTATCCTGTATCTCCCTAAGATGAACATGAATAAATTAGAGAGCATTTCCAAGCTATTTTAGGTAATTAAAATGCACCTTGATTAAAGAAATGAAATTTAAGAGATTCAGCTTCCCTTTGAAATTCAGTGAAGATGCAAAGCTCCAAACCAATGCCTTGTGTTCCTTTCTGTCACAGTGCTAATACAAGCTGCACACATGGCTAATAAAGACAACTTCAAATACTTGCTAGCTGCTTGTTCATTCTTAACTGCTGCCCTCAGCAATTGTCACTTACAACTCATGAAGAATTGTTCTATAAAAAATTTACTCCAAATATAAAAGGCAGGTAAAGTTACAATTAATCAAACCTACTACTAACTTCTACCCCTGTGTAACTGGAAGAAGCTCTCCTTAATATATACAGAAAGGTGATGTAATATGGAACCAGGTGAAGCAAATTAAAGTTCAGAAGTGATTTGAATTTAATCTTAATATAAACATTGATACTAATCAATAAACAGCCTTAGAATTCATTTTTTTCAGGCTATATAACACAATTTCTAAAAAAACTAAGAAACACTTAAAATCACAGGGTAAGGACTTGCTTACTATGAAGTGACAGGGTGTTTTTTCCTTCAGGCACATTTATCATGCATTGTTTTATGAAAATGAAACACTTACTTGATTTTTGACTGATGAGTCTGCTGGGATACAGACTGATTTTGGTAAGTTGAAAAAGAAAGATTTTTACAGTTAGTTTAGCAACTGTATAATAAAATGCATGTATTAATTTACCCAGTACTGTAATGGAATAACTACCTGAAAACTTTCTCAAAAGACAAAGCAAGGTATCAAAAAATTTTTAAATAGTAGTCCTCACAAAAAATTAGAATACTCAGCATTTTTATAGTTTTATGAGTTTCAATTTTAAAAGAAATTTTTCTTCCAAAATAAAAGAACATAAAAAATAGGAAACTTGCTAAAGGTATGATTAGATATGGTTCCAAATAAAATGTCCAGTTCCAAGATTCAGTAACTCTCTAAAAAAGTAACAGTAACATTTAAAAAAACATTTTTTACAATATAGTATAACCTTTAGGCTTAAGGATAGCATGAAACACTACTCTGGAATGTACGAAGGAATATTTCCATGGTATCTCCCTGATAACATCTTACTCCGTTAGTGGTCTCTCTGCAACAAACATTCTGCACTGCCCATCAAAAAAAAAACGAGGTGATTCTTAACCAAACCATACTTCCTAAACTACATGTGTGCCAGTAAGGCTATGTAATCTATTCACCTATTTGTGGAGTATAAAAACAAAGCAAAAAGAAGGAACAAAATAGCAGCAGACTCATAGACACAGAAAGGGACTAGTAGTTACCAAAAGGGAGGGGTTGGGGAGAATGGGTGGGGAGGAGGAAGGAGATTTAGGGGCACAATAATTCGCAAGCACAATATAGGTTGGTCATGGAGATGGTAATACAGTACAGAGAATAGTTAATGATTCTGTAACATCTTACTACACTGATAAGCAGTGACCACACTAGAGGCAGTGAGGATTTAATAAAACGGGTAACTGCTGAACCACAGTGTTGTATATTTGAAACCAACGTAAGATTGTGTATCAGTGATACTTTTCTTAACTGCTGCCCTCAGCAATTGTCACTTACAACTCATGAAGAATTGTTCTATAAAAAATTTACTCCAAATATAAAAGGCAGGTAAAGTTACAATTAATCAAACCTACTACTAACTTCTACCCCTGTGTAACTGGAAGAAGCTCTCCTTAATATATACAGAAAGGTGATGTAATATGGAACCAGGTGAAGCAAATTAAAGTTCAGAAGTGATTTGAATTTAATCTTAATATAAACATTGATACTAATCAATAAACAGCCTTAGAATTCATTTTTTTCAGGCTATATAACACAATTTCTAAAAAAACTAAGAAACACTTAAAATCACAGGGTAAGGACTTGCTTACTATGAAGTGACAGGGTATTTTTTCCTTCAGGCACATTTATCATGCATTGTTTTATGAAAATGAAACACTTACTTGATTTTTGACTGATGAGTCTGCTGGGATACAGACTGATTTTGGTAAGTTGAAAAAGAAAGATTTTTACAGTTAGTTTAGCAACTGTATAATAAAATGCATGTATTAATTTACCCAGTACTGTAATGGAATAACTACCTGAAAACTTTCTCAAAAGACAAAGCAAGGTATCAAAAAATTTTTAAATAGTAGTCCTCACAAAAAATTAGAATACTCAGCATTTTTATAGTTTTATGAGTTTCAATTTTAAAAGAAATTTTTCTTCCAAAATAAAAGAACATAAAAAATAGGAAACTTGCTAAAGGTATGATTAGATATGGTTCCAAATAAAATGTCCAGTTCCAAGATTCAGTAACTCTCTAAAAAAGTAACAGTAACATTTAAAAAAACATTTTTTACAATATAGTATAACCTTTAGGCTTAAGGATAGCATGAAACACTACTCTGGAATGTACGAAGGAATATTTCCATGGTATCTCCCTGATAACATCTTACTCCGTTAGTGGTCTCTCTGCAACAAACATTCTGCACTGCCCATCAAAAAAAAAACGAGGTGATTCTTAACCAAACCATACTTCCTAAACTACATGTGTGCCAGTAAGGCTATGTAATCTATTCACCTATTTGTGGAGTATAAAAACAAAGCAAAAAGAAGGAACAAAATAGCAGCAGACTCATAGACACAGAAAGGGACTAGTAGTTACCAAAAGGGAGGGGTTGGGGAGAATGGGTGGGGAGGAGGAAGGAGATTAAGGGGCACAATAATTCGCAAGCACAATATAGGTTGGTCATGGAGATGGTAATACAGTACAGAGAATAGTTAATGATTCTGTAACATCTTACTACACTGATAAGCAGTGACCACACTAGAGGCAGTGAGGATTTAATAAAACGGGTAACTGCTGAACCACAGTGTTGTATATTTGAAACCAACGTAAGATTGTGTATCAGTGATACTTTAATTAAAAAAAAAAAAGACTGTGTAATCTGTCACAGGTTACCTCTAAATTATCCCTAAATGAGAAAGGAAGAGATGGAGTTTAGAGGAACAAAGTTTAAGTAAAATCACACTACAGATCTGAGTCTAACACAAATGTAGATACTGACTTCAAGAGATTATTCCCGTCATCTTGGTACAAAGATAAAACTAAACTACAGCAGTACGAATGCACTGTGGCTAAACAGCTGTTTGTGTTTCTAGAAAAAGTCTTTGATATACAAATGCTATTCTGTTGTTTCAGGTCTAGTCCCAATTAAAATATTGTTAAGACCAAACAAAAATACTAGCAGATGAAGCAAGCCAACTTTCAAATATCTCCTCCAATCCATTCCCCACCCACCACCCTTAGGAATTTGGACAAGCCAGGGGGAATAGGGATAGCCAGACAGGGCTCACTTTTGGCAATGTTCAAAACCCCAGTCACTCCCTGATGCTTACAACAACCTGCTTGAAGTCAATTAATTCTATTAGGCCCAGTTTACAAATAAAGAAAACTCAGAGAATAAGAGACTTTCTCATGTCACAATATAATTCTGGAGGACAAAGATGTAAATATTCCTTTGGAGATGAAGAAAGAGACCCAAAAATGTTAAGTAATTGCCCATACAGAGACGTAAGGCTACATACATATCTTCTGACTCCTTGTCATTTTATTTCTTGACTAATACATAGATGATCACTGCTAATGGTTATAATTTAACTGTGTGTGTGATATAAAACCAAAATTGGTTTTTAAAAAAAAATCAATTTTCCTCAACCATATATTTTAATGACTGAAAAGTCTTACAAATCTTCATGCCCAGAACAATAAACAACACTGAATTATTAGAGAAACATTTTCAAATTTTAGTTAACCTTTGGGTTTTACTTAGTATACCATTATAAGCCCTGCAAGTGCTTTCAAGGCAACTGTATAACCTAAATGTGATGACTTTTCAGGAAAGAAAAGATTAAGAAATATTCACCCTGACCATATTAAAACATACCAAACTGACTTGAATTACACACTAACTGGCCCAATAGTTTTTATAACTATAAACTTCTATGTTTCACCAAAATACTATTTCAGTTTCTAAAGGAAAATTTTTTAAGTGGCACTGCTTAATATTTAACCAAGAGAAAGATCACTCTGAGTCCTGTCTCAAATATATACACTAATAATATAACTGAGTAAAAACATGAAGAATAAAAACTTTGGACTTACCTCCTCGGACTGTGATCCTATTAAAAAATATAAAGGAAACATTTCAGATAATAATATGTTTATAGGGAAAGTGATATACATGATCTCTAGGATACAAGCATACTTGATTAAGTAAATCAATTCTCCATACATTCCAAATAAAGAAACGTGGTTTAATTTTGAACCCTATTCTGGAGTCATTTTAGACTCCTTAGTACTTTCTTAAGAGTAATACCACTGAAAACAAACCCATACAAATCCTTCTTTCAATATAACTAAGTAAAAATCAGAATACCTCTGGAAATCCTATGGGAACATGTACCACTTAAATTATAAGTTATAAAGTTAAAACAGATCTGTTTAAATCAAAAAATGTCAAACGGTTACTTCTTTTTAAATTGAAAGACCATTGGAAACATACATACTTACCATTCTGAGCTTCTTGACACCTTTTAATCCAGACAATGAAATCAGTATCTGCATCTAGAAAGAACAAACTGACTATAACATCACTCATCTGCACAACCTAACATTTTCATTCAACACTTACTGAATACCTATGTTCCAAGGATTGTTCTAGACACATTAGGATTCAGCAGTGAATTATACAAAACTCCCTGTCCTAACAGAGCTGACAGCAACCCTAATGTTACAGCTTAATGTTATTTATTACTATACCAATAGATTTAACATTTAGTTATGCATCCTAACAGGAATTTTTTAAAAAAGATTCGTTTCAACCACAGTCAATCATACTCGTTCCTAGATACAGATAATCTACATTTCCCCTGACCCCTTTCCTCTTGAGTTTCCTTCCCCACAGGAAAATCAGACCTGTATTAAATTCCCAGTACACCATCAGTTAGGGGTGGGGTGGAAGCCTGGTAACCAGCAGCTGGTTGAGGTCTAGAAGCCTCTCCTAACACGTTTGCTCTCCAATGCACCTACCTATTCTGTCTAGTATTCTCTCAGTGGCTTTACTTGTTTCCATGCCATTCCTACCAACACCAAGAAAAATCTTTATACATCGTGGAATTTTGTCACATCTCCAAGTTCCATGGCAGCCAACAGACTATAGAAGGCAAACTATGTATTATGTGTTTACAGATAGCAATGTAAACAAGTACGTAAACAAATTATTCACTCCTTAAGACTCAGAACAGTGATAATATCTAAACAGTCACAGGGTTTAATAAAATATAATGGTAAGAAAAAATTTTACTCTAAATAAAAGTTTACTATTTCCAGCTAATTACAGATAAGACTATTTGTTAAAATGAAATTTTTTAATTCACTAATTTTTAAATGAAATTCAACTGTACAGGCCTTAACACACACATACAATACACACACACACTCATTCTAATGATGAACAATTGTATCAAAGTCCTAGATTTAAATGACTTATTATATTAATCAGTAAATAAAACCAAGCTTCCTATCATACAAAGGGGAAAATGGAATTATTTTGAGTTACGATTCTTTTATTCTGATAATAATGGAAGCCTAACAGTTTAACATTTTCTGGAATTAAGAGGTAAATTTGTTTTTAAATTAAATATCTTCAACAGTAATTTTACCAAAGAGTAGACACCCTCTTCTGGGGCCATACCTAAAAAATTCTAGGATAAAAGCCAATGGCATGATGAGAAGATATTACTAAAGGAAAGGAAATTTAGACAGGGAACTTTGTTGTTCTAAAAGATGAGGCATGGGGCTTACAAATCTAGAAGATGGAATGACTCATGTCTCTCCAGGGTTTTCAAATATGTATCAAGGCACTAGAAAACTGGACTCTCTAGAACTTGCTAGGAGTGTAGATATGCTGGCTTGCTAACTAAACAGCCACATTACTTATGTCCCATACTTGGAATAACCAAGTTTGAGAACAACTCCTCTTGCCTTAATCTGTTCTTTCCTAATCTGTAGGTTCCATTTGCAAAGGCCTAATGTCCTTTCTTGAGTAGGTATATGGCAGAAAAGCAAATACTAAAAGCAGTACAGAGTAAATTTTTTAAAACATAAAAAACATAATAACAATACTTGAGAACAGGGTTTCTCAAGCACAGCACTATTGACATTCTGGATCAGACATGGGGAACTGTCCTGTGCATTTTAGGATGTTCAGCACCATCTCTGGCCTCTACTCACTAGATATCAGTAGCACATCCCCTCACGTACCAGTCATGATAATCAAAACACTCTTCAGATATTGCCAATGTCCATCAGGAAGCAAAATTATCCCCAGTTAGGAAACACTGCTTTAGAGAATCATGATAACACTCTATCATAAGATAAATGATAGTGCACAATCAGAATTAAGTTGTCTACAATTATCTATGAGATTACTTACAACCTCTGTCTTTAACTATTTTGCATATTTTTTGATTCTTGGTTTTAACAATTTCTATATATGTGGATAGATATCCATACTGCTATGATTCTTTTCATATATTTCTCTAAAAAAGATGACATTAAAAGCTCAAAATACTTTCAGAATTCCATGTTTCTTCTGTACCTTACCATAATTTACCCAGATTTATACTTCACTTATCAATAAAAACCATTGTTGTAAATTTCCTATCTCAGCCAACTGAACAGAAATTAATGTAAGAAGACTTCTGAACATGAAAGCAAAAAACTTTAACTGCTCCATTAGAAAAAAAAAAAACAGACTAGAGGGAGCACATTGAGTGCTTACATACAGTTTTTAGCTTCAAAAGGTAAAGTTTAGCTGTGATTCTTTCTAATGCTAAAGAAAGGTCAATTTAATCAATGTGTAAGTAAACTCAAGTTCTTCATTCATTACCAAATGTCATGAAGAGGAGAGAAAAAGGTACTAGGTTTGTACAATTAACTTGAGATCACACTAACAAAATTCAGCTCAGGTATTTAAGACATATAAAAATAACAGATTAGGGGCAGAGCCAAGATGGCGGCGTGAGTACAGCAGCAGAAATCTCCTCCCAAAACCACATATATCTATGAAAATATAACAAAGACAACTCTTCCTAAAAGAGAGAACAGAGGACACAGGACAACATCCAGACCACATCCACACCTGCAAGAACCCAGCACCTCGCGAAGGGGGTAAGATACAAGCCCCGGACCGGCGGGACCCGAGCGCCCCTCCCCAAAGCTCCCAGCGGGAGGAGAGGAGTCAGCAGGGAGGGAGAAGGAGCCCAGGACTGCTGAACACCCAGCCCCAGCCATTCAGACAAGAGCGCAGACACAGTGTATGCGTGGTGTCCTGGATACTAGGGAAACAAGGCGGCAGAACCGCTGAGCAGGTGCCTGAAGCCAAAGCTGGAGAACAAAGAAATGGAAGCAGCCATTTTTTCCTTTCCTCTTTTCTTTTTTTTTTTGGTGAGTGCTTTTTGGAAGTCTTAAAGGAACAGGGACCCCAATACTAGGGAAACAGGGAAGCAAGACCAGTGAGCGGGTGCCTGACACTGGCGCCTGAGGACAAAGAAAATCGTGCGTTTTTCTTTCTTTTTTTTTAAATTATTTATTTAATTTTTTTTGTTGTTGCTGTTGTTCTTGGGGTTTGGAGAGTGCTTTTGGGAAGTCTTAAAGGGGCAGGACAGGACACTTAGTCCAGAGGCAGGGAATCTGGGGATCTCTGGGAACTCTAACCCCCTGGGCAGCAGGGAGCACAGAGGCCCCTTACTGAGATAAATAGTCTCCTGGCCGCTCCCCCTCCAACAGGGTTCCACCATTTTGGAGCAGCAGCCCCTGCCAGGCTACGCCCAGGGCAACAGCTTAGATAAACTCCATAGCAGCCAGGCAGAAAGCAGAAGCCCTGTCTGTACACAGCTGCCCAGCACAAGCCACTAGAGGTCGCTATTCTCCCAGGAGAGGAAGGCCACAAACCAACAAGAAGGAAAGCTCTTCCAGCTGTCACTCATACCAGCTCTGCAAACTGTCTCTATCACCATAAAAAGGCAAAACTACAGGCAGGCAAAGATCACAGAG